TTTTTTTTTTCGTTTAGGGGTCCCTCACTTGTTTTTTTATTTAATTTTTTGTTTTTTGAAGAAGACAAATGGTGGCAAGTCACGGTTGGGACGAGAATTATGAGAAGGATTTGAATGGGCTTATGAGAAAGATCACATCATTTTATACAAATGATATATTTACACATTATCAGACTGAAAGAATAAATGCATATGTGAGTCTTCTCGGCCTCTGGAAAAGGTGGATAACCGTGGTTTGCCACCAATTGTCCTTTTTTTTTTCTTAAAAAAAAAAAAATTAGTTACAAACTTGTCACTTTATCTATTACTTACGTTATTGCTAAGACCTCTTAAAAATACCAGATCCTCTCATATTTTGGGGCATAATACTTGCATTTTTTTATGAGTTTGTTGTTCTACTTATAAGTAATGTATCTTTAAAGTTGAAATTTCGTAATCAGAATTATTGGATTTCTTAATTAAAATAATTATACTTACGGAAAATCATTCGGATTTGAGATCGTTTAGTTATACAAATATGTAAAATAAATCAATGATATAGACACCAAATAACATATTTATGATGAACCGTTGGTTTATTTAATATATATAAATGAATAAATAATCTCTTATTCAAATGTTTTTTGTAGGGTGATTGTTGAAGCGCAAAATTTCGTCTTCTTCAACAACAATATTGTAGCCTTGTTGAAAAGCTACAAACACCATCTTCGATAGTCATCAATAAGAGCGAGAGAACCTGAAATAAAATACTCTCAAGTCAGTCTTTGTCAAAATAATGCAGTACATTATAAAGCGATTTCTTACTTCTATTTCTATTTCTTCATGCATTCTAGTGGAATTATTGGTCTTTTATAGGCATTTAAATCTTGGGCTCCAAGCTCCACTTTCTTCCTATTCCTTCATGTTTCACATTCCATGGAAGTGTTTGATAATTTAGGATGAATGAGAAATGACTAATTGCTTGAGCCTTAATTTTTGCACCACATTTCAAATAAAGATTAAGAAATTGAACGTCTTCGATTATAAATTTCTACTACGAAGATACGTTATTTATAACGGGACAATAATCTTGTCCCCAAAAGAGAAATGCAAGTATTTCATTTTTGTCACATCCCGACCCGGGGCGGACCACTTCCCAGGCCTGCTCCACCACCGTAGCACGATATTATCCGCTTTGGGCTTACCATTCCCTCACGGTTTTGTTTTTGGGAACTCACGAGCAACTTCCCAGTGGGTCACCCATCATGGGATTGCTCTAGCCCCCTTCTCGCTTAACTTCGGAGTTCCTACGGAACCCGAAGCCAGTGAGCTCTCAAAAGGCCTCGTGCTAGTAGAGATGTGAATATACATTTAAGGATCACTCCCCTGGGCGATGTGGGATGTTACAATAAAAGAAATACGAATTAAATATCATGTCATATATGCATCATATTTTAATATGTGCATTACCATAATTATGCATACTGTTGCATGGTGCTGAGGAGGCCCAGGTAAGCTACATTTGAAATACATTTGATATACGTACGAAATACAGTTGATATACGTATGAAATGTGATTGAGACATGTTTGAGATACAATTGTGATACGATTGAGTTATGATTGAGGTATAATTGTGATATGATTGAGATGTTTAGAGAGCTCATAACCTGCACCCCCGGTGTTAGTGCTCCCGCCCTGAGCAGGGCACAGTCCTTCACGTGATGTTCACCTCCCGCACCTTATGCTCAGCTTGGATCCAAGCTAGGTGCACAGGCCTGTCGTACAGACCACATTAGGTGGTTCCGACTCGTAGGTGACCCGCGATTATTCGCCTAGTCTTCACGTGATCGTAGCACTTATTTACACCCAGTCCTGTCGTACAGACCACTTTAGGTGGTTCCGACTCGTGGTCAGGTTCAGATATTGAGATTGAGATTGGAGCTCTATATGCAGCCGTACAGGTCACGTTAGGTGACTCTGGTTGCCAGATTACATGATGTTGATACGATTATACCTGAGCACTTGCATATCATTATGAGATTGCGGCATGGCATATTATTAAGCACATTTGGCATATTCTTGAGCATGTTGGGCATATATTTGAGCATGATTGGCATATATACTATTCGTGTATTTATTTCTGGGAAACTATACTTGTTTTACGGCGAGGGGTTAGTATATTCAAAGAGAAAAGAAGGTTCTGAATAAGTTTGTTTTGCTGACCCACTCAACTTTGTTTTGCGCCCCTCCAGGTTTATGATATCAGAGCTTGGTGGCTACGAGGAATCCAACGGTGTTCTGACAGAATGGACAAAAATTAGGACTCACCTTTGGGTGTTGCATCTTAGAAATTGTATCTTTAAAGCTTCCGTACTGTGTAAATGGTTACGTCACCCTCACGTGACGGCCAGCATGCCCTCCTTCGGGACGGGGTGTGTCAATTTTGGTCTTCTTTGACCTCAAGTAGTTCCATGTAGCATAAGAATTAAGCCTAAGTTGACAGTGAGTAGTGCCTTGTTAATATTTTTGTTATTGTAAATTGAAATATTGGGAGGGTTGATTATTTACTCTTTTTTGGAAAATAAATTTAATTAGAAAAAAAAAAAAATAGGGAAAGCAACCACACCAATACAATAAAAATTTGTGTTTGTTTAGCCTTTATAGGTAGCTATGTATCTCAACATAAAACATTAAAAAGTTAACACTAATAACAAAATAAAGAAATTTGCTTCTTTAAACACATGACACTAAAATATAAAACATAAAAAAGTTGATAGCCAGAATATTCTCAATAACACCCCTCAACCTCCGAGGCGTCTTGTACTTGTAAGGATTATTTGTAATATCAAATGGTACTTGGATTCTAATTTTTTAGAATGAGTATGTGATTCAATTTTTTTTTATACATTCTAAGATAATAAATCTTATCAATAAATGAGATTATAACCCAAATGAATTGATTAAACTTTTAGTTTTCTCAACGCAATCTTTAACACGCCGTGCACAAGCTAAAAGGTAGAAAGTCATTACCAGGCAAGGACCTAAAATTTCAAAGTCGACTGAGATAGATTTACTTTGTATATATTGTTGTGGATTAGGGTTTAGAAGAGCTTAGTGGTTAGGGTTGGACCGATTATTTTCAATTGTTGAAGCTCTTAGAACTTAGAAGGTTCTACTTGCTAATTTTGAACATAAAAAATAAAAAATTCTCATATAGGCTAGCCAATAAGAGCATCTCCAAAGAAGATGTCAAAATGTCCACATAAGCCATAACAGTAAAAAATGACAGCCACTAATTGTTTCCAAGCAAAACAAAATGTCAAATCCTATGTAGCATGACATGAAATGATAGCAAAGGAGGTTGTTGTCAAATTTGACAGCAACTTCAAATATTTTTTAATTAATTATTAATGTCTTTTATTAATTTTTAATAGCTTAGTCATTTATTATAATAAATGTTATTGTTGAACGGTGCAATCTGTTTGTATGATGTGTCTTTCTTTTTTTCAAATACACGATTCCTTTCAATTTAATCAATGCATGCCTCTTTCCGTTTGTATACTGCCTCTCTCTGTTTAATCAACAATATTCCTTTCAATTTAACATACGGTGCTTTCAAAACTTCATACAGTGAACTATTTTGTTGGGTTTTTGTCAAAATGAATTATTAGGAATTTTTATCATGAATTATTTCTATATGTAAAATTTTTGTTGAGTTTCAATGCAATTAATATGATTTTTTTAATCATGAATTATTTATATATGTAAGATTTAAAATATAAAACATAAATTAAGAAAAGAAAATAATGTAATAAAATAATAGTTTAATTTGATATATCAGGTGAAAAGTGAAACATTAAAATATGTCGAAGTGCCACATAGGCTGTCAGATTTAAATTTTATGTTTAAAATTTAACATCTCATTTGAAGATGGTCTAAGCCTCCAGATAAGTCTGTGCTTGTCTCTTATCTCATTTTTATGGACAATAAATAAGATGTAAACAATTCGCACCCTATGTATGAAGAATATGGGATCAACTGCATGACTACCACCACCACTAATATGGGGTCAACTGCATGACCATCCCCATAGCTACCACCACAACCGCATATGTGCTACGAATCCACCACCATATTTCCAAATCTCACTTCCATCATTGTCACCATCACATTGTCACTTACATCATTCAGTAACGAATTCAAAATTCAAATATTGGGGGTCTCAAGTTTAAAAGGTCTAAGCATTTTTAATTAAAAAAAGAGTTTATTTATTGAGATATTTCATCGAACATTGGTGGGTTTGTTGTTGTTTGGCTAATCACGTTGCATATATGTCAATAGAGATCATCTTATGCCAGAGCAATATGATGAGGTTATCAAGAGAATTCATCAAGTTCTCTCAACGCAACTTGTCGAGTGTTGTAGAGATATACTCGAAATACATTCCCGTGTACATTTTTCAAACACCAAATAGTCCTAAGATCACCTTAGTTCCAAAATGTATCCGCCATTGACGACACCACCACCACTATTAGCACATTTGTCACCTACCACCTTTCAATATACATTAAACAGAAAGTCCGAGTTCAAATAGAATTTTCCTAAAAACAAAATTTGAGTAGTGCGATCCCAACCAAATTAGACCCACAAAAGAAAGACTTTGACATCACACGATGAAAGACTTCTGAGGTCCCACGATGCGGATGTCAAAGACTCAAACGCCCACGTCCCATAAAGCAATTGATTTCCTTCACTCCGACTTCTCTAAATTCCCAAAAACGCCCTTCATCTCGAGAAATTTTTTATTACGATAAGAATAAGGATTGTGTTTTTATGTAATTTGAGAAGAATTTTATTTTGTTAAGTTATTAACATTTTAGTATATATATTATATCATTTGTATAATGATACGTAATGTACTACTTTGTGTGTGGGTTACATTAAAAAATTCTTCATTCTCTCTTTTAAATATTTAATTTAATTAAATAAAACTCCTCACAAATCCACAAATAATACGTTGCTCTCTCCCTCTAAGAAAACGCACGAAGCATAGACCCGTACCCGTTTGAGAGAAAACAGAGAAAAAATGGCTATGGCTCGGGCGAGCTCGGGGCTCCAATACCCCCAGAGGTTTTACGCGGCGGCCTCCTACGCCGGCTTCGACGGATCTCCTCGCTCCGCCTCCAAAGCCGTTCGCGCCAAGTTCAGCTCCGAGTCCGCTCTCATACTCTACGCCTTGTATCAGCAGGTACCTCCCTCTACTTCCTCCTCCGATCCCGTTCCTCTCATATTTCTGAAAATTCGATCTCAATCCCTATCTTTCTAATACTCGATCGCATTGCTCGTGCAAATTCCAACTGCGCGGTTAATGTGCTTCTTACTCTGCGGCAACTTTTTGCGTTTTCGATAATTACTGATTTTCAATCTCATTTCTGACAATTTTTGCTCGGGTTTGTTGCCATGGAGTGGTTGATTTGCGTTCTGATGTGGTTTTGATTGGTGATGTGGTTTTGGATTTCGATTGTTCAGTAGAGTGTTTGATTTCTGCGTTGTTTATTTCGCGTTTAGTTTCTGCAATGATGTTGTGTGTGTTAGATCTGGAATATCGAAATCCAGATTTGTATATTTTAGATGTTGATCTAATACTTGGATTACACTCTCCTTATCCATGCAATTGTGTATGTATCTATGTGTGATTATGGATGCATGTATGTGAGTTATGTCAATGTAATGTGTTATTGTATGCATTCAATTGGTTGTACAATTGCAATGGCAGGCTACCGTAGGGCCTTGTAATGCACCGGAACCTAGCGCTTGGAATGCTGTTGAGAAAAGCAAATGGAGCAGGTACGCTTCCAGTTACCACTTTCGTATTCTCATTTTAAGATGATATTCATGTGTCCGGATGTGTGTACGATATATACTGAATCTGGACCGATTAGAATTTTTTCATAGTTTCATTAGTTTGGTTCAGTAGTTGCTGTTTTGATGGTTGAACTTACGTACCAGTGAATAACAAGGTCTGACTATAAGTATGGAGCACTGGGAGGATGTGGATTGGGTGTATCAGTATAAAAGATTAGATGTCGAACCCCGCAAGTTATCTGTGGAATTTTTGGGCCTATGACTGCTAGATTAGAGAGAAATGTAAGCTAATTATGACCGATAGGATTAGGTTCACTGAAATGAAACCATCTTTGAAAATGTTGACGGAAAATCTCTCTATATTGTTGCGTTTCATTTAAATCTATCCTTTATGAACCTCGCCTATGATACAATCCTATACAAAGCTTTGGGTACAGGATTGCAACTGTGTTATACCACAGCTGCACGTTGTGTTTTATATCTGCAATATTATGCATGTAATCGTACTGTATTGAGTTTGTTTTTAATGGTATTTCGCAATACAATTTCCAGCTGGAAGAAGCTTGCAGACATGGCTTCCACTGAAGCAATGCGTCTTTTTGTGAAAATATTAGAGGTATGCGCAATAAGATTTTCAGGTCTATGTTTTCGTCGTGTGGCCGAAAGCTTCACTAATATATCTTGATTTGCATTATTTTTTTGGGTAGGAGGAAGACCCAGGTTGGTATTCAAGAGCATCAAACTTTGTTTCAGAGCCTGTGATAGATGTACAAATGAATGTGAGTATGGAAGTTGTTTCTATGATATTCTATTTTCTTTCTTGTCAATTGCCAATTGATCATAAACTAGAAGAACTTGCTTAATCTGCAAATCTCTTAGAGATTTCAAGGGTTGCTTGTCTTCTTGGCTAATCCATGATTATTTTCCCATATGGTGAACATGCGACTCTTCCTCGGTCTTTTGTACTTAGAGTTTCTCTGTGTTTTTGTTATTTTTGGTTGGTTATAGCAAAATTCAAGTATTCAGCCACTTGTCGAGAATGGTAACTCTTTTCCCGAGACCAAGACAATCTCCACTGAAAATGGGAGCATAGTGGAAGCTCAGGATAAAGATGTTGTCTCTGAAGGCTTTGGATCAGTTGTTGTCTATGATCAATGGACTGCACCTCCAGTATCTGGCCTTCGCCCAAAATCCCGATATGAGGTATTTGGATATCTGTATCTTTATTTTCTTCATCTTCTCTGCCTTCTTCTTTTTGAGCACAGTGTTCTCACATTTTCAGCATGGAGCAGCGGTTATTCAAGACAAGATGTACATCTATGGTGGAAATCACAATGGTCGTTACCTAAATGATCTCTATGTAAGCAACATATTTGCATGTATACACTGTACAAATTCACAAATCATAAGTATTCTACATTGGACGGTTGGCCAAGTCTTACTTGGTGTAACTTTTGTGTTTTTGTTTTATAGATCCTTTTTCTTGTTCTTGCTAATTGGAAGTACAATACAGGTCTTGGACTTGAGGAGTTGGAGTTGGTCAAAGATCGAGGCCAAATCTGTGGCCGAGTCGGTTGAGGCACCCTCACCGGTAACAGTAACCCCATGCGCGGGTCATTCGTTGGTTAGTAGTGCCCCTTAGTTAATACATGAGTATCCATCTCTTTTTGCCAACTTTTGTTGTCACAATTATGAATAGCCACAGTAATGTGCAATCATTTCTCTGTTTCTGTAGATACCTTGGGAGAATAAACTTATTTCAATTGCTGGACATACAAAGGATCCAACTGATTCTATTCAGGGTATGAACTAATAATTATTATTGTTATGTCCTTTCGTTTTCTGATGATATCAGACCTTGGGTGATATCTCAGTCTTTCTGCTTTAACCATTGCTCAAGAGAACCTCCGTCTGCATTCCAGTTAAAGCTTTTCAGGACTGGTCCATTTAAGTATTAAATTTGTGCTTTCAAAGTAGTAAGACAAACTCATTTCACGTTCATGCAGCCTTATTATTTTGCCATATTTTCTTTGCCTTGGTTCAATTACTGCTTTCTTATGCTTTTCCCCCCTGTATTGGCTCGACAGTGAAGGCATTTGATCTACAAACTTGCTCGTGGTCATTGTTAAAGACTTATGGGAAACCGCCGGTATTTATTTATTTGCTCTACTGTTCATATTTGTGAAAATCTGAGTGTAAGCACAAGAGTGGGGTTGGAATTATGGGAATCATGGTCCTTTCCCATTCATGTTTTACAGGCATCGCGTGGAGGTCAATCCGTGTCTCTTGTTGGAGGTAATTTGGTTATTTTCGGGGGACAAGATGCAAAAAGATCTCTCTTGAATGACCTGCATATTCTTGACCTAGAAACAATGACGTGGGATGAGATTGATGCTGTGTAAGATTTATCTTGAAACTTCAAAACCATTAGTAGCATGTTGTTTTTCTCTTTTGATGGTTTGACTCACATATTAGCAAATTTTGTTAAAGGATGTATACTGCTGTATGTGAAAAAGGCATTTTTCTGCATTAATGATAATGATAAATGTTGGCACATATTTCTATAAGGGCTTGGAATGGGATAGACTAGAAAATATATGTTCAAGACATGCTTGTTCTTTGATCAACTTTTGAGGTTAATATATTTCAATCTTTCACAGAGGGGTGCCTCCTTCTCCAAGGTCTGATCATGCTGCTGCGGTCCATGCCGACCGCTATCTTCTTATATTTGGTGGTGGTTCTCATGCCACTTGTTACAATGATCTCCATGTCCTTGATTTGCAAAATGTGAGACAAATAGTCAATTCTGAAATTTCTTTACATGCTTAATAAAACTATCACTCACTCATATATTTGGACTGTATAGATGGAGTGGTCAAGACCCACACAACAAGGTGAAATACCAACTCCACGGGCTGGACATGCAGGTGTAACTGTTGGAGAGAATTGGTTCATAGTTGGTGGTGGTGACAACAAGAGTGGTATGTATGCTATATTTTTTTGGCATCTGGTTGGTTTATGCTATAATATTTGCATCTGGTTGGTTTTGGAATTCATAAAACTTCTGGTTGATCTACTTTTTAACCGGAATCCACTTTACGCTACACAGTTAGTTATTGATCTCTTCATTTTTCATTTTTGCAGGCGTTTCAGAAACTGTTGTCCTAAATATGTCCACGCTTGTTTGGTCTGTTGTAACTACTGTTGAAGGGCGCATTCCTGTTGCTAGTGAGGTATTCGATTCTTGGGAACTCTGTATATTTAACCTAGCTTGAATGGCTTTGAGCTACATTCCTTAGTACCACATTAATTATGAATCATGATAAGATCTTTGCATTCATGATCGATTGGTACCATGTAAAAGTTGAGATTATTCACTGCCAGCAGTAATGTAGTGGAATGACAATCTAATTGTTTCCATTTTCAGGGACTAAGTCTGGTCGTAGGTTCTGACAATGGTGAAGATGTCCTCGTATCATTTGGAGGATACAATGGGCGTTACAACAATGAGGTAAGGATGAGCTTTCATGGTCTTCTAGTGTATGCTGCTCCTGTTCTATTGTCATGTTAAATTTGCTTCTCCTTGTTAGGTTAACGTTCTTAAACCAAGCCACAAGTCAACCTTGCAATCGAAGATGACGGAAACTCCTGTTCCAGACAGTGTTTCTGCTGTGCATAATCAAAGTACTACCAGAGATGTGGAGTCTGAAACAGGGCAAGAAGGAAAAGTCAGGGAAATTGAAATGGACAATGTTGACTCAGATGCCATGGTACGTGATGTTAAAAATTATGTGGAGATTTGGCCACAATGTTGCGTTTTACTTATTATTGTACTCAAACATCTGAACTCTTATGCAGAAATCAAGAGGCAAGGGTACCAATGAACATCTTATAGCGACCCTCAAAGCAGAGAAAGAAGAATTAGAATCATCACTCAGCAAGGAGAAAGCGCAAACTCTCCAATTAAAGCAAGATTTAGCAGAAGCAGAGACTCGCAACACTGACCTGTACAAGGTACTTTATGTTCACAAAGAAATTATGATTGTGCATTTTCAAGGGCACACATAATTCTTGCACAATTCTCTCGACACTGGGGATTGGATGGAGATTTTTTTATTGTCCACTATTGGTTTTGATTATCTGATTTTTCAAGAGCACATGGAATTCTTGTATGTTTTCCATCCTATGAGTTTCCATTGATTTTCTCATACTGATTTTGTAGGAGCTTCAATCGGTACGTGGTCAACTAGGATCTGAGCAGTCAAGATGTTTCAAACTTGAGGTATGTTATCATGTACTGAGTTTACCTTTTGCCTCGCAAATGTGGACAACTATAACTTGATTCTCGGTTCATCAAGATGTTTGCGTCGCCAAACAAGATATGTTGCACTTCCGGTTCAAATTTTCTGCTAATTACTCTTTGAACATGCAGGTTGAACTTGCAGAACTACGACAGAAGCTCCAAACAATGGACACATTGCAGAAAGAACTCGAACTCCTCCAGCGACAAAAGGCTGCATCCGAACAAGCAGCACTAAATGCTAAAAAGCAGAGCTCAGGTGGCGTCTGGGGCTGGCTTGCCGGAACCCCTTCCAATGAAAAAGCTGATGACGCCTAAATAGATTTCGAAACCAATTGGCAGTAGGGATTGTTACTCGTAAGATTCGGTTCTCATTAACTTTTCTTTTAATACCATTCGACATGATTTTGTTTTACTCAACCAAAGTTCTTTCCTGGGATAGAAGAAATAAAGATAATACGAGGTTCTTATCGGCGAGAGAGGGCGGGAATCCCCTTCGGGGTTTTTGCGTGAATACATACATGTACTGCAATTTCAGCTATGTAGTTTCATGTCTGTGAGTGCTCATGTTATTCTTTTGGGTCACAACTTTTTGTTGTAGTTTGTATTTAAAGTGAATATATCAAGTGGAGATGTAGATCTCATTTGTTTATAATTTGTTGTCTAATGGAAGTATATTTGAGTGACCCTTCACATCTTTCTTCCCTTTGAGGCCCGAGTTATTTTGTGTTCAATGTAATTATTAATTTTCATTATATGAGTCATACACTACAAAAAATTTATTAAAGAAAGGGACCAGCTGGTGGCGCAAAGCCATGTCAATCCACTCTTTTGAGGCTGGGCAGACTCACATAGACATTTTAGCCTTCTTGGCCGTCATCGTGTGATTCATCAGCTTCACGAATCAAACTTAAGACTAGCTGTGTGAAATGAAAATGTAGATCTATATTATTTGTCGAAAAATTTACAATACACTACCACTTATAGCCTTTAGATCCAATCCAGTGGATTGAATTTAAGGGCTCTAAGGAGGTTCCGAAGCATTGTTGCCTCACCCTTTCTTCATTTGTTTAAAGCTCACATATTAATGGAGGTCAGAGGGCACACCTAATTTGTTGCCTACACATTACATGGTTTCAAATTTCACTCAACTCATGTTTTTTTCATTCGACTGAGTTTTCAAATTGACAATTACAGATTAATCTAACCTCTCAATATTTTTTATGTGATTTACCAAGAAAGAAAAGTAAAATATTTGCGAGAAACATTAGTAGATGAGTAACACAAAAATGATTATGGACACACTCTAGATTCCATCTGTCACTAAACAAGAGAAATTTGTATTCGTTTATTTTTTACATAAAAAAATATTGGGATGTGACACTAAATTCAAAAAGATTATCATTGCCATTTTGATAAAATAATTTCGAAGTTAAGTCAATAAATTAAGATAATAGTTTTTGTTAATTTGCATGTAAGTTTAAATTCCTTTTTCATTGATCACAATTTGACGTCATATTTATTAGAAAGAATAATTTTGATGGAATTCTAATGGTAATATTTTGATAGAGGAAAAAAGTACGAAAGTTAAAAATGACGGTTAAAAAGTGAAAATTGGTCAAACAAATACAAAAAAGAAACTTTATATATTGACGTGGCAGCATCCTTTTCCTTGTATATTATCTCCACGAGAGTGGAGTGAACCAAACTATTATTATTTCATTTCTCCAAACCCTGATAAAATCACAATTTTCCCCTAAATGTTCTTACCATCCAAACACCCTCTCCCTCTCTCTCTAGGGTTTTATCTGTATCGCTCAAAATCCCCCACTTTCTCGCGTTTTCCCGGAAAATTTCGCACTTTCAAATCCTCATCATGAGGTGTTAGAAAGCTATGCCGCCTCATTGGGACCCGCCTACTGTGTTCGTCTAGAGCTGCTGAAGGATTTGAATTGCAGCCGGTTCGAAGATCTCTGTGATGAACAACGAAATCGGATTGGACGGGAAATCGGATGCCACTGAAGAGGCCGCGGAAGCTAGAGCTAGGGTTTCGCCAATGGAGCTCGATTCGGGGAGTGAGGCTGGCGGAAGATCTGAGGAGGATGGGGCTAGGGTTAGTACGGAGAGTGAAGGTGGAAATGTGGATAAAGTGATGGAATCGAAGGGTTCTGGAATTCAGGCGGATAGAACTAGGGTGGAGATTTCATTCAATGATGATGAAGAAGATGTTTTCGACATTTCGCGGGTCGAAATTGAGGACGATTCTGATAAATCTGAGGCTCACAATGGTGAGCACCCGTCTTTGTTGTCTGAGTTTGATGAGTTTGTAGCTAACGAGAAGAGTGGAATGGCTCTCGGGACGAAGAGGGCGCTGAGCTACGGGTTCGACGTGGGTGACATGGTGTGGGGGAAGGTAAAATCTCATCCGTGGTGGCCGGGACACATATTTAACGAGGCGTTGGCAACGTCTCAGGTGCGGCGGACACGGAGGGAAGGTCATGTCTTGGTTGCTTTCTTTGGTGATAATAGTTACGGATGGTTCGACCCGGCTGAACTCATACCATTTGATCCCCACTACACTGAGAAATCTCGGCAGACGAATCACAGGGGTTTTCTGAAGGCTGTGGAGGAGGCTGTCGATGAGGCGAATCGTAGGTGTGAACTTGGTCTGGTTTGCAAATGTAGGAATGCCTATAATTTTCGGAAGACAAGTGTGCAAGGGTACTTTGTTGTTGATGTGCCGGATTATGAGCCAGGAGCAGTGTATTCGGAGAATCAGATAAGGAAGGCGAGGGATAGTTTTAAGCCGATTGAGATGCTGTCTTTTGTAAAGCAGTTGGCTCTGTCAACACACGGTGATGATCAGAAGAGCCTCAGCTTTAATAAGAGCAAGGCTACTGCCTTTTCTTTTCGCAAGGCTGTTTTTGAAGAGTATGATGAAACGTACGCTCAGGCATTTGGTGCACATCCAGGACGCCCTTCTCGTAGTCTAGTTCCAGCTCCAACTCGAGGTATATTAATAACTCTCCTCACCGTTGGTAATAATGTTATAAATTTTGGACCTTCATGCTGTAACTTGTGTCTGTGCGAGTCCAAGGAATGCCGGAGGAGGGTGCGATTACTTTGCGGCAAAAAATTTCAATAAATAGTTTTAGTAATTTGGATTGTAGATGTTGAACTCAAAATTATCAGTTACCTTAATCTCCATTCGTATTTGTAGCTATAACTTGTAATGCGTATATCAGTTTATGGTGATGTGTTAAGATTTGTTCTTCACAGGAAGTGCCGTTGTAGTGGTATTTAAGTGAAGCATGGGGTCTAAACCCAAATTATTTGTTTTGTTAATTGGTATTTGTGAGATGATTTATCTTAAACCTTAAATTTGGTTTGACCCATAACATTGTGCAAATACGGAAAAAATGTTTACAAAATCCCTCAATGTTTTGCCTGAATTTACATTACCATTTGCGCTAGTGTATCATTGAGTAGTAAAATTTACAAGTTCGTTGAACCTTCTCCCCCTTTTTTTTGGTTTTAGTTTCTACAAAAGCAAAATTAGATGTTTCCCATCTGTATGCAAGTTGAATTCACTGAACATGCTTTTCTAATTGGATTGTTTCCTTAACCAGCTGCTTTGAGTGGTCCTTTGGTGATTGCTGAGGTTCTGGGAGGGCAGAAGAGTGCCACAAAACCGATGAAAGTCAAGGACCATTCAAAGAGAGACAAATACCTATTTAAGCGGAGAGATGAACCTGGGAACTCGAAAACCCATCAAACTAGCCAGGGCCAAGCTAGTTCCTCAGCCCCATCTGCCGTCTTGGAGGGGTCAATAGCAGTAGAAGATGAGAATTATATGTTACAAAAGAGGGCTCCAGATGTATCTGGAAAAGAAGCTGCAATCATTGATCAGGCGACAAATAGCTCTCTCATCCCCCAAGTTGTTACTGTTGATGCAAAGCCATCTCTTGCAAAGGGAAGGGGGGCTCTACAGGAAGTGAAAGAGGGAGATGGAGATGTAGGTCCTACAGCCACAGGATATGTAGATTTATTGGGGGATGGGACCAAGCAACGTACAATAGATGGTACATCACAACCTTTAAAGCAGGAAGGTGAGGGTGTATTAGAGTTTAAATACGAAGAGAGTGAAAAATTGTCTGGATCATATGAAAAATTTCAACAACCTTCGAGTTCTTTGAAAAAAGTGGAAGTAGGCTATGAACGTGGTGTTGGAGATCCTTTGCCAATTGAGGCAAAGAGTTTAGGTGGGAAGAAAGCAGCTGGTGGAGTGAAAAAACCAAAGGTTCTTAAACGGACTGCAGAGGACTTGAACATTAATGACTGTATGATGGGGGATAAAAAGAAAAAGAAAAGGAAGAAACAGTTAGATGCGGAAGCTAGCGTCAGAAATCAACAGAAGCCTTTGACTTCTGGAAAGGTACTGCCCTCAGGGAGTAAAGCAGCAGGAAATGCCAATCATGTAGGTTTGGCTGCAAGAGAGGATACCCAGGTTGAACATAAGAAGGATGTCACTTCCAGTAATAACTTGTCTGAATCTGTTGGAAAATTACCATTTCGTGGCCTGGAAAATGTGCAGCTTGATCTACCACAACTGGTAAGCGATTTGCAAGCCCTTGCCCTTGATCCTTTTCACGGTATTGAGACAAACAGCCCTGCAACTGTTCAGCAGTTCTTTCTGCACTTCAGGTCCCTTGTCTACCAGAAAAGTTTGGTTCTGTCACCACCCTCAGAGACTGAACCTGTTGAAGTTCGCTCCTCTAAATCTTCATCTGGTGTGAAAGCCTCTGATATATCTCCTACTGAGCAAGTTAGAGATTTATCGTCCTCAAAGGCAGCAAAACCCGTGTTCAGATCCGACGATCCTACCATAGCTGGGCGGAAACGTGCTCCATCTGACCGTCAAGGAGATATTGCAGCTAAGAGGTACAAGAAAATTACTGATATAAGAACATTGGCTGCAGAAAAGAAGGCTATTCAGAGACCTCCTATAGACTCCAAGCGTATAGAGGCGAAAGAATCAGCAACACCGGTTCTGCGGAAGTCACTCAAGCCAGGTTTTGCAAAGAAAACGGACCCTGCATCAAAGGCAGTTGAGCCTACAATGCTGGTGTTGAAGTTCCCTCCCAAAATCTCTCTCCCATCACTTGCAGAACTGAAGGCAAAGTTTGCCCGATTTGGGCCTATGGATCAGTCCGGTCTCCGTGTCTTTTGGAAGTCCTCGACATGCCGGGTTGTCTTTCTGTACAAATCTGATGCACAAGCAGCATTTAAGTTTGCTACTGCAAACAGCTCCCTTTTCGGCAACTTTAGTGTGAGGTGTCAAATTCGAGAAGTGGGCGGTCCTGAAGCTCCAGAGTTAGGCAAGGGTGACAATCCCAGGGAGACGCCACGGGCCAAGGATCCATCGGTTATGCAATCACCAGCATTGGCCTCGGCACTCAGACAGCAGCAGCAGCAGCAGGCTCAACAGAGTGGAGTGCAGCTGAAGTCGATTCTGAAGAAGTATTCAGGCGAGGAGTCGGCAGGAGGGCAGGTAACCGGTGGGAATGGAAATAGTAAAGGGACTGCACGTGTAAAATTCATGTTGGGTGGGGAAGAAACTAGTAGGACTACTACTTCTGATCAATTCATGATGCCTGGTAATAGAAATAACAACTTCAACAAGAACAACAGTGCTAGTTTTGTGGACGTCGACGGTGCACCGTCTTCTACTACTTCCACTGCTACGGATTTTAATACAACTAGGAACTTTCAAAAGGTTAATCCTCCTCCAACTTTTTCATCACCATTGCCTCCTCTCCTCCCTAATCCTCCCGGCCCACCTCCACAATATGCCAAACCCCCACCCCATAGCAATTTTCCGCAGCATTCCGAAATGGCACCACCCAGAAATACTAGTCACAATCTTAACGCACCACCCACAAGCACGGTCGATATTTCGCAGCAGATGCTTAGCTTGTTGACTAGGTGCAGCGACGTTGTATCCAACGTGAAGGGCTTGCTCGGCTATGTGCCTTACCATCCTCTCTGATGAAGCCGCCTCGAAAATTTATTACGCCATAAGGCCTCGTCATCAACAAGATTCGAACACAGCATTTCACGGCTCGAAAGCTTTGCTTGCTTCCGAGTTTTAAAGGACATGTGGACGTGGGGCGAAAGTTGTTAAGAGGGAGAGATGCCAAACCAAAGAGAGTTGTAGACTCGGCGTAAACTTTACATGTAGTGGTTTTTACAAGTTGGACACTCTATTGTACTGATGATATTGGTAGTGCCGTCTTGTTTGCATTTTTTAATTTTGTTTGTATTTTTGTTAGGGTGGGTTTGACTTTTGGCCCGTTAGCCAGAATACAGCACAACGGGAGAGCTTTGTGTCCGAATGTCGTATAAGGCATTCGGAGACCTTTCCTTTTGGACATAACTCGTCGTCAACGTTTATAATGGGGCGGACAAAAGTAGGAAATTGAAGAGGACATAGTGGATGGGATGCTATTTATTTTGGAACTCTTCAGATGTTACCCATTGATGGAAACAATGATTGTTAAGGTGGATTTTATGTGCTATGTTGATGGTTATACATTTTTTTATCATAAATTTTCGTACAAGCGATGCAGGAGGATGAAGATTCAAATTTGACACATTTAGAATACAAAAGTGTATACTTGTAATCGATTGAGTTACAAGTTGCTTGTATATTTTTTTATTATTTCTCTTCTCTTACACTCTTTTATTGATTAAATAAATTAAATAAAAGTTAATAGACAAATAGAAACAAGATTGCAAAAAAAGAAAACGAAAGTATCAATTTGGATTTACTTTTTATGCTTGGAATTGAATGGTCCAAGTTGCAAAGTTTTTTTTTTTTTTTTTTTTTTTCCTTCTTCTTCTTCTTAAAAAAGAGGACAATTAGTGGTAAATCACGATTATTTATTCTTTTCGAAGCTAGAGAAGTTATGAGAAATTTTACATCCCTGTGATCACAGTTAAGCAAAGTTATCAACTCAGAACATCAAACTTGAGATCTCTCATATTTTTTTCATTTATTAGAGAATCGCAATACGCTCTCCTACCATTGGCTCACAGTCAAGTTGCAAAGTTGGAGATGAATAATGAGAAATGGACTAACATGACATCGGCGTGAGCGGTGGAGGTGGAACCTTATCCTAAATACCACGTTACGCTGTTTGAGGTCAGAAGGCTTCCATTCAACGGCCATATTTCAATATCCATCGGGTGACATCATCAACGCAATTTATTCCTTCTTTCGTAAGCATCGACCAAAGCCACTCTCACTCTGGCATTCAGTCATTCCCACGTCCCATTTTTTACGTGCTTTTGAGAATACGAAAATCAAACTTAATATCTCTCATTTACAAGTAAAAAAGAATATCACTAGACCGTAATATTAAGTAGCAGATCAAACTGTTGTTTGAAGCTCCAACTTAAACTGTTATTCTGGAAACCGTGGTTATAAATTTGGGTTTAGTGCCTAATAGAAGCCTTGTTCGAAATTAGAGAGTTGGTAAATTGGTAACCACTCTGATTAGTTTGGTCCATGGAATGTTTAATTTAGTTAAACATAACCAAAAAAATCAGAGGCCTAGATAGTTCAGTTTAAGGAAAAATTAAACAGATAATTAACAGATAAAACAAACAAAACACATTTACAAGGACAGAAAACCAGAAAATTAATTAATCAGAGCAAAGCTTAATTATTCATTTGTTTACAAAGCATTAGAAAAAGGATCCAAAGTGGAAGAGTAAAGAGACAGAGAATAATAAAGATGGGAATTTGCTGGGGTTTTCTGGGTGATCATCCAACACCACTAGGCTCTTCTGGATACAGGTATTTTCATTTTTCTTGTTTATTATTCATACATGCAATTCGCAGGCATAATTTCTAAACGTCATTAACTATTTGAGCGACAAACTCTTCATTTTTTCTTGTTCCTTAGTATTAACTCTCAACAAATTGTGAGTTCGCATGAAAAAGTAGAATATATATATATATATATATATATATATATATATATGTGTGTGTGACAAATACTTAGCTTTTTGCATGTTCTTTCAAAGAGATGCTAAATAGTACGTGTAGATGCACTATGCATTTTTTACATAAGAAATTCTTCCAATTGAAGTGTATTTGTTGACTGGATTTGAAACTCATAACGAGTCAAATTTGACATCAACGTCAAATTTATTTTTGATTAGTTTAGCAAATAAAAGTTTTGTTTCAAACAAATTTTCTAATAAATAAGAGCTCTACACAAATGATGAAATAATATTTGATATTTTGGTTATAGAAACATAAAATTTGACATAAGACTTTCGATTGACATATCAACCATCAATTGTAATTTAAATGTTATGATTTAACATTTTCTTAAAAATATAAAATCTATAATTTATATATACGAACACGACTGATATATATCAGTAGTTAAAGAGAAATAACTCTTTAAATGTATTTTATATGTATAGACCCAAAACAACATCTGAATCCATTAGCATATGAGCATATTCTAAAGTTAAAAGAATTTACAATACCAAACGTGTGATTACGTCAGATGGAATTCATTCATTTTTGTCCCTTCTCCCATTAAGAATTTAAGATTAGAGGCATTGTGCTGGACAAGGATCTCTTAGGATTCTCTTTGAGGGAATTCGAATGATCATTTAATTATGTTCGTTTATTGTACATCATGCTGTTAATTTTCGTTAAGTATTATTTATATTTCATTTAAAATTTAAAATTTAAAATAATTTCTAACTGTACGATATACAATGAAAGAACACAAATGATTAATCTCTTAAATCCTTACAAAAAGGGTAGAGGATGCTATTTACATTGCGCCACGCAAAACGGCTGTTGCTTGCGCGGCTTTTACGTGTTTCCTGCCTGTCATTGTGGGACCACGCTGGCCCACTCGCCTTAAATATCTTAATCACTAATCACCAAACATATTGACTAAACTCTCATTAATCAATTCATTGGACAAGAGACAAAACGTAATTAGTCCTCGTCAATTGACTTCACTCCGCTCCACACTCCACACACCATAAACATTATCTTCTCCAATATTCACATGAATTCTTTCACTCAATTTTAATTGTTGATGTGTCTGATCAATTTGATGAGAGAACCTTTTTTGTGAACAATGCTCTATCGCATAATTTGTTGACATACGTTGGGCCAGTTAATCAGAAAATTAATTTTTTCTTACTCAGGTAGCGTTCAAGTGATAAGAAATATTTATTTTTTATATTCATATTTTTCTAGTTGGTCAGAACAATACGTTGGCATTGAATTCGAGCTCAATCTCTACATTATAATCACATTAGCCCCTTATTTAGCCAAATGGCAAAAAATATGAAACAAATAAAATTAAATTATGCGTGAATATTTTATTCATGAAGAAATAAATTTAAAAAAAAAAAACGCGTAAACAAATATTCTAGGAAATACTCGAAATTAGAAAAGAAATTTATAACGTTACCTAATTAACAAAATTGTAAAAAAATTAAATTAAAAATGTGACTCAGTGAAGCTTCACAGAAGCTGCCTTTTCTTTTGTCTTCATCCTCACCTCCCCTGCTTTATAAATTCAAGATTTTTATCCAACGCTCCACAACTCAACAATTTCCCAAATCTTCCAAATTCCAGTCGAACAATCTTCTTCTTCCAACTTCCAATTGTCAACAACTCTCAAGAATCGTCGTCATGGATTGCAGGCCTCTGGAGGTAATCATCGACTCGGCCAACGACCTCAAGGATGTCAACCTCTTCTCCAAGATGGACGTCTACGCCGCCGTTTCTGTCGCCGGCGACCCCCGCAACAAGAAGCAGAAGACCAAAACCCCCGTCGTCAAGGACGGTGGCACCAACCCCAAGTGGACCAGCTACCCCATCAGGTTCACCGTCGACGAAGCCGCCCTCCTCAACAACCGCCTCAGCCTCAACGTCAAGCTCATCTCCGAACGCACTTTGGGAGACACCAAGATCGGCAAGGTCAAGATCCCGCTCAAGGAGCTACTCGACACCATGGGCGGCGGCGATGATCAGAAGAAGCAGATCAAGCACGTCAGCTACGGCCTCCGATCGTCGAGCGGAAAGCCCAAGGGGACCATCAATTTCGGGTACAAATTCGGTGACAAGTTTTCGGTTCCGGTTCCAGAGCCCCAGAAGAAAGTCTACGAGCCCGTGATGGCATACCCGACCGGACAGGCCGGGTCAAGCTCTGGCTACCCGCCCGCGGGTGCCTACCCACCTACCCAAGCTTACCCATACCCGCCACCCGGTGGGTACCCACCACCGCCTCATCAGCAACCTGGTTACGGCTACGCGCCACCGCCACAAGCCGGGTACGGATACCCGCCTCAGCCGGGGTACGGGTACCCGCCGCAGCAAGTTGTGCAGCCGCAGAAGCCTAAGAGGGGCGGAGGAGGGAACATGGCGATGGGTGTGGGAGCTGGGTTGCTGGGTGGATTATTGATCGGGGATATGATTGGAGACGTGGGTGAGATGGCCGCTTATGATGCTGGCTACGATGCTGGGGTCGGTGATGACTTTGGTGGTGGCTTTGATTTCTAGTGATTTTTTTTTTTTTTGTTTTTTTTTTTTTGGGGTGTTTTAATTTCTTGTTTGAGTTTTTGGTTTTGGGACGAAGGAAGACGTAAAAATGTTAGTGGAGGTTTTAGGGTTTAATGTTCAATAATCATCAGTAGATTAGTTGAGAGAAACTAAATTATAACTTTCTCCTTCTTCTATTTTCTTCTATCATATTTGTCTTTTTTTTTCTCATGAGTGACTATTGTGCTCAATGAAATACCTTAGCTGAAAAGCCCTTGGTAGTCTTCACCATTACTCCCCAGTATTCTTCATCTACCCTCGACAAGCTTCTATAAATAATAGTTATCGACATATGTTCGTATAAACTTTCGGCATATGTTGACAGGAATTAGCAGATGCGTACTAATTACACAACGAATAGCTCAATGAAACTTTTGTTTGTGATATTATGACCCATTATTTTATAATCGTGGCTACGCCACTATTCCCGTCTAAATCCCTTCTCCTCGAGTCCCCTCCTCTCTCACTTTTCTCTATTTCTTTCTCTCTATAAAAAAAAAGAAAAAAGAAAAAAAAAGGACAATACCAAATGTTAACGCGCTTTAATTGCAACGGTTCAAATACGGGGGAATTGGAGGGTAGGAGAATTTGAAGTGAATCTGGAGAAGTAGGTAAAGTTCACTTTCCAGTTTGTCAATCATAAGAACTATTCTGGAAGCGTTGAAAATGATTTTAGTGACGCAGCACGGTTATTGGAAGTCAATTAGTTGCCGGCAACCTATGCCAATTGCCAAACCATCCAAATTGCTTCCAGTCCAGTCCATCTGCCTACTATACTTTCCACCAAATAAAGGTCAAGGAATCCTTGTGTCACAGTCATAGCGTCAGCCTCACCCAAGAAAGGCTTTGGTGAGCGGCATTGATCACTTCAATTAGGCAACCGTACAAGGCTATGGATATGGCGGTCTGCATTCGACG